TGAAAATTTTACGACATTTGACCCCTGTGACCTTGAAAATTGGTCCAGGTCATTGATTTGAACAGACTTGGTAGCCCTTCATCCCAGCATACTACAGGTCAAATATCAGTACCCTGGGCCTTTTGGTAATTGAGAAGAAGTTGTTTGAAGATTTTAAGACATTTGACCCCTGTGATCTTGAAAGTGGGTCAAGGTCATTTTTTTAACAAACATTGTATCCCTTCATCCCAGCATGCTACAGGCCCAATATCAGTACCCTGGGCCTTTTGGTTATTGAGAAGAAGTTGTTTGAATATTTTAACATATTTCAACCCCTGTGACCTTGAAAGTGGGTCAAGGTCATTTTTTTTAACAAACTTGGTATCCCTTTATCACAGCATGCTACAGGCCCAATATCAGTACCCTGGGCCTTTTGGTTATTGAGAAAAGTTGTACCCCTGTGACCTTGAAAGTGGGTCAAGGTCATTTTTTTTAACAAACTTGGTAGCCCTTCATCCCAGCATGCTACAGGCCTAATATCAGTACCCTGGGCCTTTTGGTTATTGAGAAAAGTTGTACCCCTGTGACCTTGAAAGTGGGTCAAGGTCAATTTTTTAACAAACTTGGTAGCCCTTCATCCCAGCATGCTACAGGCCCAATATCAGTACCCTGGGCCTTTTGGTAATTGAGAACGAAGTTGTTTGAAGTTTTTAAAATATTTGAACCTTGTGACCTTGAAAATTGGTCAAAGTCATTCATTTTAACAAACTTGGTAGTCCTTCATCCCAGCATGCTACAGACCCAATATCAGTACCCTGGGCCTTTTGCTTATTGAAAAGATGTCGCTTGAAGATTTTACGACATTTGACCCCTGTGACCTTGAAAGTTGGTCAAGGTCATTCAGTTGAACAAACTTGATAGCCCTTCATCCCAGCATGCTACAGGCCCATTATAAGTACCCTGGGCCTTTTGGTAATTTAGAAGAAGTTGTTTAAAGATTTTAAGACATTTGACCCCTGCGACGTTGAAAGTGAGTCAAGGTCATTTTTTTTAACAAACTTTGTATCCCTTCATCCCAGCATGCTACAGGCCGAATATCAGTACCCTGGGCCTTTTGGTTATTGAGAAGAAGTTGTTTGAATATTTTAAGACATTTAACCCCTGTGACCTTGAAAATCGGTCGAAGTCATTCATTTGAACAAACTTGGTAGCCCTTCATCCCAGCATGCTACAGGCCCAATATCAGTACCCTGGGCCTTTTGCTTATTGAATAGAAGTTGCATGATGATTTTACGACATTTAACCACTGTGACGTTGAAAGTTGGTCAAGGTCATTCATTTGAACAAACTTGGTAGCCCTTCATCCCAGCATGCTACAGGTCCAATAACAGTACCCTGGGCCTTTTGGTTATTGAGAAGAAGTCGCTTGAGGATTTTACGACATTTAACTACTGTGACGTTGAAAGTTGGTCAAGGTCATTCAGGTGAACAAACTTGATAGCCCTTCATCCCAGCATGCTACTGGCCCAATATCAGTTCCCTGTGCCTTTTGGTTATTGAGAAGAAGTTGTTTGAAGTTTTAAAAAAATATTTGAACCCTGTGACCTTGAAAATTGGTCAAGGTCATTCATTTGAACAAACATGGTAGCCCTTCATCCCAGCATGCTTCAGCCCCAATATCAGTACCCTGGGCCTTTTGCTTATTGAGAAGAAGTTGTTTGAAGATTTTAACATATTTCAACCCCTGTAACCTTGAAAGTGAGTCAAGGTCATTTTTTTGAACAAACTTGGTAGCCCTTCATCCCAGCATGCTACAGGCCCAATATCAGTACCCTGGGCCTTTTGGTTATTGAGAAGAAGTCGTTTGAAGATTTTACGACATTTGACCCCTGTGACCTTGAAAATTGGTCAAGGTCATTCATTTGAACAAACATGGTAGCCCTTCATCCCAGCATGCTACAGGCCAAATATCAGTAACCTGGGCCTTTTGGTAATTGAGAAGAAGTTGTTTGAATATTTTAAGACATTTGACCCCTGTGACCTTGAAAATTGGTCAAGGTCATTCATTTTAACAAACTTGGTAGTCCTTCATCCCAGCATGCTACAGACCCAATATCAGTACCCTGGGCCTTTTGCTTATTGAGAAGAAGTTGTTTGAAGATTTTACGACATTTGACCCCTGTGACCTTGAAAATTGGTCAAGGTCATTCATTTTAACAAACTTGGTAGTCCTTCATCCCAGCATGCTACAGACCCAATATCAGTACCCTGGGCCTTTTGCTTATTGAGAAGAAGTTGTTTGAAGATTTTACGACATTTGACCCCTGTGACCTTGAAAATTGGTCAAGGTCATTCATTTTAACAAACTTGGTAGTCCTTCATCCCAGCATGCTACAGGCCTAATATCAGTACCCTGGGCTTTTTGGTAATTGAGAAGAAGTTGTTTGAATATTTTACGACATATAACCACTGTGACGTTGAAAGTGGGTCAAGGTCATTCAGTTGAACAAACTGGATAGCCCTTCATCCCAGCATGCTACAGGCCTAATATCAGTACCCTGGGCCTTTTGGTTATTGAGAAGAGGCTGTTTGAAAATTTTAAAGACATCTGACACCAGTGACCTTGAAAGTAGGTCCAGGTCATTCATTTGAACAAACTTGGTAGCCCTTTATCCCAGCATGCTACAGGCCCAATATCAGTACCCTGGGCCTTTTGGTTATTGAGAAGAGGCTGTTTGAAAATTTTAAAGACATCTGACACCAGTGACCTTGAAAGTAGGTCCAGGTCATTCATTTGAACAAACTTGGTAGCCCTTTATCCCAGCATGCTACAGGCCCAATATCAGTACCCTGGGCCTGATGATTATTGAGAAGAGGCTGTTTGAAGATTTTAAAGACATCTGAAACCAGTGACCTTGAAAGTAGGTCCAGGTCATTCATTTGAACAAACTTGGTAGCCCTTCATCCCAGCATGCTACAGGCCCAATATCAGTACCCTGGGCCTTATGGTTATTGAGAAGAAGTTGTTTGAAAATTTTAATATATTTGACCCCTGTGACCTTAAAAGTGGGTCAAGGTCATTTATTTAACCAAACTTGGTAGCCCTTGATCCCAGCATGCTACTGGCCAAATATCATCTTCCTAGGCCTTTTGGTTACCGAAAAGAAGTTGTTTAAAGAAAAAAGTTGACGCCGGAACGACGGACGACGGACGGACGACGGACCCCGCACCATAACATAAGCTCACTTGCCCTTCGGGCAGGTGAGCTAAAAATTAAATAATATCTACCTAAGTCATATTTTCAACTGCAATTTAATGGTGTTCCCCGTCGAATTAAGATATGCTTCCCAGCGTAATCGTTATTCCGGTAGTACCCGATGTCAAGGAATATTGGAGAGAACACAGTTGATCTGTAGCCCATATTGTGATATTTGGGACCTCCATCTTTCTTTCCTCTATATCTCCTATTTATTCTTCCTTTTTAACGATGCTTTTGCGCCTATCATCATACGGCCTTAGCTGTCACGAGAAAGTGAAAACCTGAACAAACAAAACAACCCGGTTAAGTTTTCATTCATAAATGGTATTTGGTTTTACGCAATTTGGGAAATTTAATAAACAGTTATTGGTTAACAGTACTGCACAATACAATTACGTTNTTATTGAGAAGAAGTTGTTTGAATATTTTAAGACATTTGACCCCTGTGACCTTGAAAATCGGTCGAAGTCATTCATTTGAACAAACTTGGTAGCCCTTCATCCCAGCATGCTACAGGCCCAATATCAGTACCCTGGGCCTTTTGCTTATTGAAAAGAAGTTGCANTTGAAGTTCTTTGTCTACAAATATATTATATTGTAACTATTGTGCATGTTCACATTTGAAAGTTTAAAGTGACCGTTGTTGTAGTCAATGTTCTTAACAGTTTATACAAAGAACTCTGCACAGATGTGTGTGTGTGGATGCGAGTATACGTACGTGCAACCATGCCTGAGTGGCTGTGGTTAAGCGTGTGTATGTATATATGACAAACACTAGAAGATAAAGCACTAGATTTCCAATCTGATGCGTTATACAATATTTACCAAAGGATTAACCACATGCACAGATGTTAAATGTTAAACTTGGTCTTTGTTTAATTCATATTGCAGTTGAGGTGTCCCTGGTTTCGAAGAACTAATTACCTGTCAATATGATTCGGTGAGGAATTGATATAAAGCTGTAAGCTTGTTTTCCCATCCCCCTCTAATTTTTTACAAAGATCACCCTTTATTATTTACCAAACACTAGATTTATCGTAACTTAAACATTATTCGAGTTCTAGTACATATTGTTCATAATTTTTTTATCATTAATGAGGTGGATACATAATCTACCAATATCTCCGTATTCGAACAGGGTTTTTAATCGAGTATGTAGATATGATTCTAATTATCGAAAGCGAAACCTTTGTAAGTGCATGATTCCAATAATCGAAAGCGAAACCTTAGTAAGTGTATGATTCTAAGTATATCGTGGAAATTTTCAAAAATCAGGGTTACATGATAGCAGTCATTCATTGGATAATTGATTTCATAACCAGAGACAGCCCACGTGATCATAACACACTGGTATATAAACAGATCAGGCCGCACCAATAAGCATTTTAGTATCGACAACGTTTCAGATTTTTCAGATTTTTTCAGTTTTTACTGATCTTTCAGGTAGGTAAACGTTATTTAAAATCAAATTAGTGTGTTGTTTGCACTAACTTCTATTATGATTAAATAATTTTAACGTCTTTTTTCTAGGTTCAACAACCTCTTTAAAAATGTATAGTCATCCAAATTTCAAAACCCATATAACTAATCTTTTAACACCCAATTAAATTCAGATATGTATTTTCAATTGGGATATTTTTTATTTGCTAATTGAAAGTTTAAGTGACTATACAATGTTTTAGGGGGCTTGCCGAACCTTAGCTGATGCATATCTATTTTTAGCACGCTATATACAATATATATCACTTTTTTATAAATGTATGTCATGGGTATTCGTAGATGTGATGTTGAAATAAATAAAAAGAGTTTTATTTTTTATTTTCCCTAAATTTTAATATAACTGGCAGTTGAATTATTTACATTTGTTGATCAAAGTTCTATAAATATGGTCGTATTATTGCCACTTTACATGTCAACCGGGAAGAAAGTAATAAAGCGCTATTTTCGTTCGCGGTAGACGGGTATAACGGTTTGGGCTATATCTTGATGCTGGCCAAAGTGATAGATTTCGATCTCCTTTGATTCATGTTCACAACATAAGGATAGTTAAAACTTTTTCATATCTTGAGAAACAGATGTGTCGATGATTTCGTATCTTTTTTGCTTGCTTTACATTTAATTCGCATCTTGTAAAAGTACTCAGTCACTGAATTGTTTTATCTATGTAAAGGGGGGGGGGGGGGGTTCTTTATGGAAAGTAAGAACTAATTACAAGTCACCTTGTATATATATATATATATATATAATAAACAGAAGAAAATAAAATTCTGGTAGAAATTTTAGTTCTGATCTTCAAAGCATACGAAATATATTACGTGAAACAGAATATAACATATTTATATTGTAGTTTCAGTAAGCTGGATGTCTTCCAGACAAGATATCTACGAAGAATTTTGCGAATCTTCTGGCCTCAGGCTGTCTCCAATGCAGAATTGTACAGGAGGACAGACACCGTACCGTAGGAAATAAAGCGAAGAAGATGGCGGTGGATTGGGCACGTCTGCAGGATGCACCCGGATCCATCACAAGGGTAGAGATGAGATGGACACCATCAGGCAAGAGGAAGAGAGTAAGACCCAAGAAAACCTGGAGGCGGTCGGTCGAGAAGGAAATGAAGGAAGCAGGATATACGTGGGGACAAGTCCAACGACGGTTCAAAGACAGACAGCGCTGGAACTCTCTGGTGATGGCCTTATGTGCGACGCCGCAGGAAGAGGATTAAGTAAGTAAAGTATATGGAAGCTTTAAATTTCAATTAAAAGATAATTTGATCATCATGATACATTCGCTCAAATAGATAAAAATATCTTAAATGTCTATCTTCTATTTCATTCATAGATAACTTCAATTAGAACGATGACCTTTCATAACAGCAGGACATTATTAAGTCCCCCAAACGAAGCGGCGGACTTATTGGTTTTACTCCGTGTCTTATTCCTTTTCTTTTTCTTCTTTTCCTTCTTCTTCTTGTTCCGTCGTATAAGTTTCCGACACATTTCTCAAAAACGATTGGATGGAACTTTATGAAACTTAACACTAGTGTTTATCATAGTGAGGGGTTGTGCACATTTATTTTCCAACCGGCCTCTGATTGGTCGATATTAAATATTGCTCGACTTTGTTCAAATTTGGTATGTAGGTGTATTTTGGCACTGCAAACAAAGCTGTGGGGTTTATGGGACTTCTGTAATGGTCCTCAATACAATTTTATGTGTTTAATATGGCCATATTTGACTCATTTTAATAGGGTAGATTATGAATTTAAGCTAGATTTGAATATCAAAGGAACTTTAATAATAAACATTAAGAATATAAACATGAAAATTAATGACTGTCACTCAACTTTTTTATTAAATCGATAAGAACATCAGAGTGAAAGTATTAACTTTGGAATTGATGAGGTTTTTAAAATGGTTTTGGATTTCTACATTTTTTGTGTGTACACTTTCCAAAAAAAGTCATTGACAGCGTCATCAGAGTATTAGGGCATCAACTAATGTGATGTCATTCCAAGCATAAATATATCAAAGTGAATTAGGAAAGGTATGATTACCGTGCGTGAGATTTACGGAATCTGAGTGGCCAATATTAAACCAATTGAAAACCCCATATCTATTGTTATAGTAAAAAAGCACAAATATTTGGACGAGATAATTTTTTTACTGACGTTCGTTGTGATAAAATATATATCTTACATTCTTTATAGTCTGGCATTGTCGAAGTCACCCCTCAGGGTGTGACGTTCCCTAGTGTTGATATTATTGGGGTAGCATACCCACTTTCATTCAGAACTAGAGAATCCTCAATTATTTACAATTTTTTCAAAATAATATGGAAATAACGAGAACGTAGCTGTAAAGAAACATTTATTATGTTAAATTCCATTATCACATCCTATACTTATTTCGTTGTTTTATTTACAGGTAAAATGGATGGCCTAATCGATTCGCACTAAATAAAGAAACATTTTTTTCTCGAGTCGACGACTGTGCATCGGGTTGTCGACTCGGGATTCAGTTTTAGAACTGAGTTCAACACGATGCTGGATGTAAGATGGTTGAAATAAACGTCCCGAAGAAAAAACTAAATGATGTCATCTGAAGTGGAATTACATCAATTTTTTTCAAGAGTGGCAATGCTCTATTCTAAAATTCTCTATATGCAGTTACTGGAAGTTTTGATTTCAGTTCATGGAATTCCGAAATCTTTATTCGCAGTTAACGTTTGGGTTTGACATTAAGGGAAACATTTCCGAACATGCAAAAACGACCGATAAAAAATGAATAAAAAGTCAAAAACATTCAATCAGTTAATTAGACTGGTTACTTATAACATTTGGTTTCAACTTTTAACTTCAGAAATAATGCAGAAAAAGATCTAGAGTCATTGGAACGTAGGAGAAAGACGGTAAACGTGAGGGATAATGTCAGTATTGTTCATAATAACTAGAAACTAATATTCTGACGATTAGAACACTGGAAAACAACACCGGGGGCCATTAAGGACAAAACGCATGCAGTCGTTATCAATTTCGTCACACTGGAACAATAATAACAGTCTACTTTCGGACTTTTGGTTTTTGTATTATCGATGTACTGTTATTAATAAACATGTAGAAATATCAGGGAAAAATTGGTATTTGGAAAAAAAATGAATAATAAATATATCTCGACAGAGTGTATTGATTGTTGATTTTTCGTGAACTTTACTTTTGACAAAGTTATTTTTATGATGTCATATGTCAATTATACCATCAATACCGATAAATATGAAGGTGGTCCCTGGAACAAACAGATTGTAGACACAACATATATAAACGCAATCGTTTGCAGACACAGTCGGAGGCGCTCCTGTGAGGCTACAGTAACCAACGTGCATGCAAAACTACAAGTTTACTGTATCCATGCAAATATACACGCCTACTGTGAAGCTAAGCTTTATATACGGGCCCTGGTGTCACGTGAATAGAGTACCCGAGATCCTAAATACTACCACTTTGCACGACAGACAGGTTTAGCCATATACATCGATGTTGATGATCGATTTGACGATTGGTGACCTATATATTGACCCTTGACTTATGATTACATGTAGTATGCTATCCTGATTGATATTAGGGATCATTTTAACTATGACCACTGCATGCTGACCTGTAGGCATAGCAGGTGCGTGGCATTGGCTAATTAGGTTTGGCTTAAACGCAATCGTTGCAGAATGAGAGTCGGCGGAGCTCCGTTGGGGTAAATGGTATGCGAGGTATATGATTAAACTCTTGTTCACAGTAGGCGTGTATATTTGCATGTATATGGTTAAACCATATACCTAGCATATTGATGATCGATTTGACCTTTGGTGATCTATATATATTGATATGCTACATTGCATCATACAATTTGTTGTTTACATCAAAAAAGTGTACAATGTAACATTTACCAAAATTGTTAGTCCAATTGACCTATGACCTGATTTCAGCCAGTATTGTCCTAGTAGGTGCTCGGCATAAGCTTATTTTGATCAAGTGCAGATGTCTGGCATTATTAGAAAAGTAAACGTTGATTACTTCCTTACACTAAACGAATTTCAAATAATACAGGCATCATCATCACCATCATCATCATAATCAGCATCATCATAAAAAAAAATCTATCATGACCATATGCTAATATGTCTCTTCAGTTCAAAGTTAAATGTAATTTTATAATGATAAAACAAAAGTATGTGTTGCTTCAGATTATAATTTGCTTGCATAGGGCCCCGTCCTGAATTACTATTTCACAGTACAGCGGATGATAAAAATACAACATATTTCTACGATACCCTGTTAGAGTGTAAAAATATAATCCGTAATTACAAATTGTTATTTCGACAGATTACTTAGGTTTATAACACCAGAGACTTAACATTAGCTTTACAGAAGAAAAACGGCATTTCCATAGTTTATGATATGGTATTGTATATCGTTTTGTGAACACGTCACAGACTAAAACACCTCATTGATCATTTGTCCCATTCACTGAACACAGAGCTGCGCATTGGTGTTTACAACATAGCAGCCTTGACGCTAGATACTAAATATAACATCCGGCAGTATTTTCTACATGAAGACGTTTGCACATTGTACATTTATTAAAACATTTTTAACATGAAAGACTGCAAACTGCCGACGCAATATAACCTTGAATAAACCTAGCGAGTCAGTTTATCGGTTCATCAGTGCTTCAGTAATAGAACCTTTTCTTTGTTAGAATGTCCAGACAGCCAACTTTGGTCACGGTCGACTTCTTTACAAATTGCAACTAAAATCGGTGGTGGAAATCCTCAGAAAACTAGGTCGCGAGAACAGGGTTTTCCATTGGCAAATTTTCAATCCTGTTAAATGGTTGGTAGGTACATGTATTAAGCTGTCTCGCTGTGTATGCAAACACACTGAGGCGTCCTTCTACCAGAGTTTTAATTAGACTACTGATCAGTTCTAAATCATATTGATAAACCTAATGCACTAGACTACTCCATTTATACAGTCCTAACTCTAGTACTCATATTAATACCCGGCCTCCTATAGTACTAATATTAATACCCTGTCTCCTCTGCCCCGACCGCATTATATAAAAAAATAAAATCTCGTCGTCAGAAAACTACGTTTTCGCAGCTATCCTAAAAAGCATTTTTGATTCCATTCAGATGGTTTTCTCCTAAAGGTTAGTCGCATTTTTTTCTCTGATAAAGTTATTATTTCAAAAACTAGTTTCCAAACCTATTAATAAATTATATTGATTGATTTACAATGTCACAGTACGAACAAGGGCGATAACTCCCATTCACACCTTAGCACGACGCACAACACACAAACACTCGGTGAATAAAATGCACACAGAAACGCATATATAGTGAAGAAAACATATGGTCACCATGGTCATAAAATTGACCTCAAATCTATGTGGTTATATTGAACTGAAAGGCCTGAATACCACACGATGTCTAATTAAAACAATTTGGTGAGATAGATCTTTTTCAAATAAATAATAAAGCAGTATGGTAGAGTTATACAGAGTAAATATTTTAACAAACATGTTTTATAAGATTGGCTCATCCATCTCGCAGGCTGTTCGTAGGTATAAAGTGGATAAAATGACACCATCGTACTTTTTGATGTGACATATACATTGTAAAAGCTTTGTTTTTCCACTGAAAAAATAATGTGAGATATACAATTAGCTTCTTCTTAATTCTGTCAAAAAGAGGTCAATCCTGTAGAAACGTATGTACATGAAATATATAGGTCTCACGGCCTTGATTTTCCATTGGCAAGGACAGACAGACCACTTTGCCAATGATACTGTAGTGAACGACACAGAATATTATATGTAATTATAGCTATCTCAGTTTATAATTGTTTATTTGTTTTGTAGACAAAAAAACAACATCAATTTAAGTACGACGGTTAATCAAACTTTCAAAAGTTCAAGATCTATAAACTCTGTATATAAACTTATTCCACAACATTTTGCTTTACTCTTGGTGCACATCGTTTGCAGTTTTCATATAAGAAAATGAAGAAAGAAATTACCCAGATAACAGTTATATTTTTTTATTACAGATATATTCAGCCCAAATTTTGAAATTCGTTAGATTTTTATTCAAATCAAATCAAATAAAAACTGGCAGAATAAAATAATGTGAGGTAGATAATCTAATTATTTAAATTAGTCGGGTTTTTTTGCGCGCCAACATTTGTCACTGTAAGAAAAAACAAAAAACCGAAATATTATAATTAGGTCCAGACTTGGTGATTGTGTACGATGAGTGTTAGGTTAAGGCATTATTAGGCATAGGAGCCGTCTTACAAAAACTAGACTTATACAGTTAATATATATAGGATAGACGGCCCCTTCTCTAACCTATCCCCCTCTTCTACTCTTTTACTTCATACTTTATCCCTTCTACTCATTTTCCTTTCTGTTCTTCGTCTGCTGGATAACCGAACTACTCGGTAGTGAAGCGGACGTAAAACCTATCAATCAATCAATCAAAACATATTGCTCATAGGAGGGCAGTGAGGCTAGTTAAAGGACGTGTTCCCGTGTTCCCGTATGTGTGCTGTATGTAGCTGTGACAGCCTATCCGCACCTAAGGATCTAACCGACCTTAGGGCGTGACCTGGACGGGCAAGGTCATTTTGAATCTCCGAAGGGCCCGGTTAGCTGGAGTCTTACCCCATCAAGACGACTGAACACGGGCTTCGCCCGTGAAATGTAATCTATAAACCCATCAACCAACCAACCAACCATCATATTGCTGGATAATCGAACTACTCGATAGTGAAGCGGATGCTACACCAATAAATCAAGCAATCGACATATTTTGCCGTGAATACTCTTACATGTATACTAATAGCATAAACGTATGGGTTTTCTCGTTTTTCCAGATTGAGGTATGTAAACGTTGATGATGGCTATTATGGTTTAAAGTTAGTACAATCTATCGTTACGTCAGAGTTCCATCTACCAAGAGATTGAATGATTATTCAGTAACCTGGTAGAGTAAGCAATAAATAGTATAACTGTAAGTGTAATTAATGACAAACTAGATTTTCTCTTTACTGTCATTATACTCTTTAATAACGATACACGCTCTAAACTTGTTCATTCAATTCACCAGATGCAGCTTCCTTCGGCAAAATAGAAGGTAAGAATCCTTCTTATATATTTCTGGTTAAATGTCATCTGTGATATGTTCTTTTGGAATCAGATCAGACAGGTAGGATACGAAACCATTACAAACGTAGACTTGTTTCATGCGTGTAGAGGCTACACCCTAGTGGAGGCTGAGTATTGTCTTATTTAGCTTGAATTAATAGAAACAATACACGATGTGTCTTTTAGTCTCTTAAGTCCTAGTAATGTTTATGAATAAACATAAGCATATACAATCAAATATTCACAACATATTCAATCAATAGATAAGTATTTTAATATTCAAGTATTCATCTTACACAGTTAAAAATTAAATGCGTGTCTTTTACTTGCACAATGTTTGCCTTGCCTGTAAAGGTGTTTTTATGGGGGATAGGTTAGTTAGGAATAGGGGAGGGGGGAGGGGGGGGTGTAAGTGAGTATAAATATGATATGATTATAATGCGTATATGTTTCAGGGGGTGACAGTCAAGATCCAAACAAAAACCACCATAATCAACTTGGTATTGGTCATCCGCCATCATAACTGATTGTGAGGGCGTTTTCCCGAGTCGACGACTGTATAGGGTTTCTGCTTGGGCTTTAGTCGTAGAACTGATTTTACAACGATGGTTAAACCTTCAGTTCAAGTGAAAGAAATATGTATTCTGAACATGATTTAGCTTATTTGAAATCATTCCAAGGAGACTTTGAACGTTAAGAGACCAATCAAACAAAAACAACTAGAGATTTTGACAAAATTTAAATCAACATTATTTTGAACAATGATTCGTACAAACGTTGGAAATCTAGAACATAGTAAGTGGCAACGGTTAGGAAATTCTTCCAAAAATACATAAGAAATCCCGGAGCTTTTATTTTAAATCTTTTTTATTACAATCCTAAAACATGCTTATTTTTTACAATGCGTTCCAGCACATTTATACATGTGTACTCGCGTTTCCTTTTTTACTTATACCTCATTATTGACATTATTTTT